TGCTATGCCATTCAGGTTTTTCTGGTTGCGACTCCTGTCCTTCGTTTTCCTGAAGCATGTCTCCCCTTCATTATAGTGGATGTGTCTGAGAAGCCATGCCTAAGTAGTTTGCATTTAGAAGCATGGGAAACTTCTCCAACCATTTAATTTACTCAATTATATGTGTATACTAGGAGGCTGAAATTCACGCAAGAGAAGTGAGACTTTTTTGTGTGTGTTGCTGCTCTGAAATTCAAGTTGCTTCTAAAAGCTTGCTGTTGCAGTGTTAGGAATCTATCATGGGCTACAGAGTGCTTCTTTAAAGATACCAAAACAAGCAAACTAGAAAGAGAAACAACAATACAAGAGAAACTCATGGCATTAGATTCTTTTGCTCCACCCAGAAACAGATTTTTAGAGCACAAACATATTCTTTCTTTTCAGAACGTAGTTTTCATAAAATATTAGCAGGGTCAGTTCTGTTTAGCTACATCTACTCTCTTTTCGAGGGACCATGGAAGACTACACAGCAGCCCTGAGGTTAAACACCACCTGCCAAGGAACTGGAGAATGTTCCAGAAGCCGTATTTTTGATCCTAATTTCGATTCTTAAGTGTCAGCCCTGGGAACCGGGACTATAAAGTTTCCAGAGGAAGTAATGACACAGAAGACACAAGCTGGAGACACCCTCTTGTGAAGCATGGCTGCTGCTGCCAGAGGTTAACGATCACATCCTTTTTCTTTTGTTCCAACGCAGTTGTTAAAGAGCGTTCTAACCTTCCGGATGTCTCCAGACGTATCCCTCATGAGTAATCTCTCCACACCCCGTGACCACATGTCACCCTTGCTTTTTTTTTTGAGGCACATGCACAGACTGAACACCTAGTATCTTTCATCACCCCTGTCATCACCTCCATTTAAACATGAAGTAACCTTTGCTCCATACCTATTGTTCTCATCCTGATGTTAAAAGACAGTTCTCTTCAAGTAAGAATAATGGAAATGATTGTGAAGCCAAGCCTGTCTTCATGCTTCCTTTCAGGAATACTTTAATCATTGATTATTATATTATATTATATCGTATCGTATCGTATCATATCATATCATATCATATCATATCATATCATATCATATCATATCATATTATATTATATTATAAATTCAGTTCTTTACAAATCACCTCTCTTCTCCAAATCCTTCTCTGTAGCTTTCTTTTACTTACAGATCAGCAATGCCAGTCTATCTGTGACATTTTCTCAGACTCAAGCCAGGTTCCACCCAACAGAAGTCTCTTTCCCCTCTGGATGCAAACCCACAAAGCCCCCCCCCCCCACACACACCAAAAGCAGTGCCTGATCTTTACATTTCTTACCTGGAAAGCCTAGCCTACCTGTGTCATATCTATACACAGTGCTCAGGCTTAGGTGGGTCCTCGAAACACACTTCCAATGCCACAAACACTTCACTCTGGCACACACCACAGCCCTCACTCAATTATTGCTTCAGTAATTGCATTTTTAAAACCTGCATCTCTACAGTAAGACTGTGAGTTCCAAGGGTTAGTAACTATGTCTTATACGAGGGGAATTTTCTGAGACTCTGTCTGGGCCAGTTTGTAATGTATGTGGGAACAGTAGTAATCAGGTTTGGGAATAAGACCAGAGGACAATAGATCCCGCCGCCACGAAGAATTCTTTTTATTTTATTCTAGTCTTACTGGCAATTCCGCACATGTCTACAGCTGAGGTGATCAGATCCGTTTGAAAGAATAAATCTGGCTGCTGATAGCGTGGCTGAAATGGCAGATGGGAACGAGCAATTATATCGTAGACTATAAAAAGTGGTCATGTATTGCTTGTTTCCGTACTCATCCTTTTCGCAAAGTGACTCCGCTACTATTGTTATCCCATATTCTAGGGCTTAAATGTGGTGGTGAGCCTTGATTTGGCCAATGGGACATTATCAACTGTGATACTGCAGAGGTTTCAAAAGTGTCTGTCCACTGGGGTTTGCCTAGCAACAGACTGCTGTGTAACTCCAGAGCAGTGAGGCACAACCTCAGCCAGGCTTTAAGCTCCCACTTTCTTGTTCAGATGGGAAATGCTGCTTTTCTCCTGGACAGCCATCATACACTTCAGACTCTGACACCAAGGGGCTTACGGTAGAATCTCGAGAGTGGGGGGAGGAAAACCTGTAGTTTGACTTCTTTTGACAAGATAGTCTAATACACTCAGAACTTCACCTTGAAAAACTGTTCTGTAAATTCCATGGGCCAATGAGTAAACAGTTAACTCAGCCCGGGAGTTAACTCCAGTGACATTTGCATTAGATTGAGAAGGAAGAACAAATGTTCCATAGATGAAAACGAGAGCAGGGCGTGTTAGGCCAAGCAGGTAGGGTGTACAAGGCATAGAGTCTCTGGGTGTCTGCATCATATTCAAGGAAGTCTCTAGAAGCTACTTTGCAGCCTCTAAAGTTCTGTAGAGAGGTCATTCAAATAAAATTTTGTGGTAATTATTGCCTTTCCTAAAAATAGTCTTATTTTTAAGAATTTGCTTTAAAACATAATTGTCATTTCTGTCTAAGCTTCATCCCCAGGGCACATTCCACACAGACAACAGAGCTTAGCAGGTATTTCATTTGCCTTAATTGTCAGTTTCAATAACTCTAAAATGTTGATGATTTCATAGAATTGAATCCAACTCTTGATCTTTTTCTGAATATTCTTTAGAGAATCATAAAATTGCTGCTATCTCTAATTCTCATGCAGCAGAAACTTTGGTATTTGTCTTAAATGCATGCACACATATTACCCAAATTCTGGAGTCACAGAAAGTCATCTCTGAATGGAATTATTGGCCCTTAATAATTTTTGTGTTTCCTGCAATGAGGCATAGAGAAAACACACACACACACACACACACACACACACACACACACACACACACACATCGTTGAAAGCGTCTCCCTGTAAGCAGGTGCAAAGCCCGCCTGCCCTTAGGGAAACAGCCAACAAGAGGTTGTTGTGCTGATTCAGTTCTCATTAACTTCCCTTCTTCTAGACTTGCTCAGGGAAGGTGCAGTTCACAGTAGCAGGCATGAACTGAACTCGTATTTTCTCAATGGCTCATTTCATCTCAAAACATCTGTGGCACTTCACAAACACATGGTTTATGATAGCCTTGAGATGGTTATGAATATTAGAGAATATTCATTATTTACTTACGTATTTATTATTTATTGTCCAGGCTGGCTTTAAGCTTCTGAGTACAAGGAACTCTCCTCTGACAGCCTCCTGCGTCCTGGGACTATAGGTGTCCTCGTCCTCCCAGGTGACCGCTTTTCCATTGACACTAATACCCACCTGCTAATGATTCCTGTCCTGAGAGAAGTATAGACAATAAACCACATTAACCCTATCCAGTGACATATAAGCGATTTCTTCTCAGACAAAATGAAACAAGAAAGTGACAGAGAGACCTAATTTTTAAACCTAAGTAGGTTTAAAATTCATTATTGCCCCCTTTCATTACTGTGTGCAGACCTTATCTCTATGTGTATATGCTTTATTTCAAACCTAAAAGAAAGAAAGAAAGAAAGAAAGAAAGAAAGAAAGAAAGAAAGAAAGAAAGAAAGAAAGAAAGAAAATTGGAAAAAGTACTTGGATGCTCAACTGTGTTCATAGCAATGCTTAATCTTCTGCCCACTAAATAATGTGGAAAAACCCACGGGTGCTAAGGAAGACTTGTTAGCATGCAGAGAAGCCCTAACTCAAGACAGGTGAAGATCGCTATGGAGAACATCAGGCAGGACAGGGTGTATGTGTGTGTGTTTTCCATTAGCAACTCGTACAAAAAAATGCAGATTCTGAGCTAAACTGTCAAGTAGGCATTTCATGACAATTCCCATTCCTATCCCTCTGTCCAGTTCTTACTTTTTGAGCATAAATGTAGTGGGTGAGTATGTAGTTAAAAAAAAACAATTTGCAAGAAGAAAAAGATCACGAGACCCAGGCAAACCACTGGTTTTTTGGATCTAACACTCAAGGAAGAAAATGACCGATACTGTCCGCTTAGCAGCTGTGTGATTTAAGTGTAATGTGTAATTTATACTGTGACTGCTCAGAGTAAAAAAGCAGGAAAATGGATACATTGTAGCTGTTTCTACTGCATTTATTTTCAGATCATTCTACTGTTCATTACTGACCCTTCCTCCACTTGGGACTTTTCCATGAAATGCAACTATAGAGGGACAAAGTGTAATTATGGAAATACAGAAAATTTCAAACTTAGTTGGGAGTGCTTTTGTCAGAGGAGAGGGATGACTGCCTGTATCCTGCCTTCCTGTTGTAACCAATTCCGTATCTTTAGTGGAATTGTTAGATCACAGATCCTCTAGCTGTCTCCTTCTCCCCAAATGAGGCCACATCCTCCTGAAGGCTCTCAGGCTCACTCCCTAGAGGCCAGCTACAGAAAGATGCTATGACTTAAACTTGCAGTCTGCCCTCCTCACTCACACACTAGCTCTCTGTTTCTCTGTCTCTCTCTCTTCCCTCCCTCCCTCTCTTTCTTTCTCTGTGCCCACCTCTCAGCTGAGAGCAAGCCCAGCAGCCCCTGATGCCTAGACTCGAGACAACCGTGAAATATGTCTGAGGTCTTCCTGCCCCGTGACTCCTGGCTCATAAGCTATCTGTCTACATTTTCCTTCTTGTTATAATAAGAATGGCTGGTAATCACAGCAACCATAGCTTATTGCTCTTGTTCATATAAAGCTGAACGCAACTGAGTTGCAAGGAGATAGAGCATATCCTTTCGTGTCTACCTAAGATATCCTAGAATGAAGTGTGTGTGTGTGTGTGTGTGTGTGTGTGTGTGTGTGTCTCTTCACTGTAGCTTGCTTCATTTTTTAAATGACTGGAGTTTGGTAAAGTTATGTGTATAATGGGGAAATACAATAAGCTGTGTGTTGAAAAGATGTTGTTTTAGATACATTTCAAATGAAGACATGCTCTGTCTCTGCAGCTGTGAAGAAGAAAGCCAGCTTTATCACTCCTGTCCCGGGAGGGGTGGGGCCCATGACGGTGGCCATGCTTCTGAAGAACACACTTCTGGCTGCGAAGAACACTGTCTACTAGATCATACGGGAGCACATAAAACGAATGCTGCTGATTATTTATTTGTCAACAGGCAAAATCCTTTCTATTTTACTACAAAGTTATTTATTTCTACATTGTATTTATTTTTTCATGAGTGGAATCATTGTGGAACTGATTATTTTCACAACTTTCTGGATTTCTTGCTAATAGATTTTGAGTTTAAAAAAACAAAAACAACAATCCCAATGACAACTTTGGTAACAATTCTTTATTTTATGGATATTTGATCATAATGTTAAAAAAGGAGAATTCATACTTAATAAATATATTTTTGACATAACCTAAATGTCACACAGTGTGTTTTCAAAAACTGTTTTGTCATCCAAATGGATGCCATGAAACTGTAACTTAAGTTTTGTTATCACCATGATTTTTAATGTAGTCTATTTTCTAGGTTATTATGATTTTCTCTGTAGTCTATCGTGTAGGTTATCTCTGGAAAGGAGCTCACCCATTTAGAGGAAGATGGAATACTGAAAATGAAGTCTTAATCTCAGCTATCTCCCAACCTTCCACAGGTCAATCCTATGATAAAACTGACATTTTAGTTAAGAAATGAAAACTATTCAAGGAAAATAAAAGCTGCAATAATTCTTGGAAAACTAAAAATGATTACGTGGTGTAGTGTAAGATCATGCACGTTGGCTTTCCACACCATTCATGTCATTGGTTTAGTGTAAAGATGCCTGTTAGGTTTCTACACCATTCATTTCACTTCATTGATGGTAATAGCAAAATCTGAAAACAATTGAATGTACAAAGTCAAACTAAAGTGTTTCTCCCACAAGTATCAACCAAATACAATGTGTGTCTGTCATTAAAGAACTGTAAGTGGTATAATTATTCATGAGAGAAGAAATATGATAGGATTATAATGCTTTCATTTTGTGAAACCTGAATCCCAGGATATAACTAAAAGCTAACCTTGTGCACACATTTCTTCTCTTTTCTAGGATAGCATTTGGTTCCTAACTCAGATGCTGTGTGTCTAACACAATTCAAATTGGTTAATCTGTGTGACTATTAATTGAAGGCTATTTAATGACTAGAGCCTTATAATTGGTACTATGGTTTCATACCCAAACCCCAGTATGTTTATGCGCCAACAATGATCCTTGTTCAATGCATGTCTCTATCCGTGTGTCTCTTGACCAGCTGTTTATAACTGATATTTCAACTCCAATAAATGCAATTTGAGAAAGAATTATAGCTACATTATTTTATTAAAATAGCTTTAAAATTTTGGGTTCACATATTGTTATCTGTTTTTTCTGTTTTGTTTTGTTTTGTTTTTTATTAATTTGCATGTGTCTGTTTGTTTATGTGTGTGTTGCGGTTATGAGAGAGAAAGACACACACAGAGAGAAATCAGGCTCGACAGCAAGCAGCTCTAATGCTTGAGCTGTCTCACTGTCCCTATTAGCTGTTCATTCTTTACATGCTGGGGAAAAATGTATCAGGTTTCCTAAACATGAGAAAAAAAGACACTAGGAAGCTTTCTACTGTGAATCCAGATCAGACAGTTAAGTAGTCCTGACAGAACTATAAATTCAAAGTTTGCATGCAAGCATTTTAGAAAGTGCATGATTTAAATAAATTTTAAAGGACTAAAAATAAATAATGGACTAAAAAATAAATAATACCCAAAGATGTATGAATATTAAAAATACGAGGATATAGTTATGAGTGTTTCCCTGCCCAACAGGTGAAAGGGATTATTTCGGTACAGTATTTATTTGAGGGTCAGTCTCCCTAGAGACTAAGGAAAAAAAAATTCTGATGCTTTAAATGGAAGCATCTGATATTTAAATTGAAAAGGGAGATTCATCAAAACAAGTACAGAGGAGTCAACAGTTTAAAAGATAGATTGAGCCTATCTTCACACAAGGCAAAGGCAAATGGGATCTACAACCTTTATAACCGAGTCACCAAGATGGGGAAATCAGTGGGTTAGAATGTTTTGAGATCAAGGAGGAGGGAGTACTTGCTGACATGACTTGTCAGTTTTCTTGGTAACAGCAGACCAGAGACTTTGTCATTGATGCATGGGGACAGGGGCCACACCATGGATATATAAGGTGTGGGATGAGCTGAGTTAGCAAGACTCTCTGCTAAAACTGAGCTCACTTGATTGAGGTACAGGTTTGTCAACAAGAGGGCTCAGATGGGTATGAATAAGTGCCAAGTGAAGGCAGGAATCTTTTCTCATACATAAAAGACAAAATCGGACAAATGGATATGAATCTATTCAGAGTTGTTTTTGGAGTCTATATGATGGCCTGGAGGAGAAATGTGAAGATTCACTTTTTTTCCCCTACACTGTCTTCAGGGAACCTTAAAGAATGATGGAAGTTGTACTGCAACACAAGGAAACATAAGTACAATTTGAAAAATGCAGTCAGAAAAGAGTGAGTTGGAAAGCAGTGGAGGTCAGAAAAAACTGCACGAAGCAGGAATGAAGACCATATTTAGCAAGTGAATAGAAAGGATTGCAGTCAAGGCTAGAGGACATCATCAGCCGTTAGCATAAGGAAGTTATAAAGAGGTGACTTGGGAGAAGAGATAACAACTTCAATTTAAGACATGTTGAGTGTGAGGCAATGACATAACACGTAAGCAACAGTCATGAAGTAACCCACATCCTGGAAAGGGATGGATGCTGGTGACTGATGGGGAAAATACAAGATTCAACAGCACATAAGGCAACTGGGTACCTAGACTTGGAGGCCACTGTCCACCTTGTATTCTTTTGCCCCATTCAATACTTACAGATGCTCCTTAATTGTGTAGCTACCAAAAGCTAAAGATTTCCTCTTAATTTTCTTTTTTTTAAAATGTGAATAAACTAGAGTGCAGAATTTTTTACATAATTGTCCCAATGCCACATATACCACATAAGTGGTAAATTGTGTTCTACCATTGGACATAGTTCACAAACCAAAATAGAACAAGATCAGATGTTTATTTCTTCCTCTTTCTTGTGATTGAATTATTACAAACACAGACATGTCCACGAAACAATCTGGTGGAGGTGATTCTCAATTGAGATTTTCTCTTCCCAAATATGTCCACATTCGTGTCAAGTTGTAAACATCCAACCAACACCAACCTGGTACCTCAATGAACCTGGAGCTTACCAGTTCAAGCAGCAAACCCCGAGGATCTTCCTGCTTCCTCCTTCCCTGCACTGATATTTCAGGTGTGTCCCACCATTTCTGGCTAGTACAGCGGTGCTGGGAATCCAAGCTCAGGTGCCCAAATTTTCATGGCAGGCATTTTACCAACTGAGACATTTCTTCATCCCCTCCAGTTAATTGTTATCACAGAGAAGATCATTGTATATCTATAACTAAGTCTTAAGAAGAAAGATGTTTGGGCCAGGTGTATTTGACAGTAGTAGAGAACATGCTTAATATGTGATAAAGTTCTAAGTTTGAATCTCTCTCTCTCCCTCACACACAGAAACAGACACATACAGAAAGAGATAGATGGTAGATGATATTAGATGATAGCTAGATAAATGGTAGATAGAGGATACTAACATTTCTTTCCAAAAACTTCAAAAAACTTGTGATAGTATTTTAATCCTTAGTTAATTATTTCTTAAATTCTCTACAGGGCCCTAAGAGAATTCTCTGATTTATAATTGAACAATTATTTTCTTGTGAAAAGTACTGCTCAGAAATTGATGTACCAGACAGTTCTTTAAGATCATAAAACTAGAGCCAGTGTGTGGACACAAGGAAGCCGAGTGGTACATATTCTTTTAGCTTCTAAGTGATGACTCTTGCGGTAAGTGATTGCCCAAGCTGTAATGAGGGTAACAAGCTCGTGCTTGTGCAATTTCTAAAGCCAAATTCTTATTTGAATACAGATTGGGATCCTTTCTGATAAATATAATTTGCTTGGTGGACATGATTCACACACTAACCAAGCTTTATATATGTATGTATGTATATATATATATAATTTATTTACTTTATATCCTGATTGTACCCTGCTCCCTTGATGATAACTAAGCTTGAACAAGTTTTCAAGGTCCAGAAAATATAAGCAAATGAAATTCCAGGTAGAAAGGCAAGCCGCTTCAGCAAACCATATTCATAAATATTCAAAGTTATTTGGGGCAGGTGAAAATTTGCCAGTGACCCCTGAAGTTTATACAAAAAAGGCATGGGCATAATTATGTATTTTGACTTTTATAATCTTATTTTTAATCATTACTGATTGGGTCAACAGTGAAAAAACTTGAGTGCTGTATGAAATTATGACTAGCTGTCCATTAGATATATCCAAACTAGAGGCTACCTCAATGAAGAATCTAGGATGACTATTACCACCATACATAGCTTCAATATTATTAGTATACTGATTCTCTGCCACTTATCATGAGGCCAGATTTAAACACTGTTGATCCTAGAACTTGGCAGTCCATCCCATTTCTTCATAAAGCATGAAATGCCAGAATGACAGAAAGTTAAATGTTACAGTATTAGAAGCAATTTTACTTATCAAATTTTATCATAAGTAGAGCTAAGTAACAAAAACAAAAATGGAATACTATACATTCTTTTTACACAAATTGCATGCTTCTTTATAACCATATTACCAATTTTTTTTTTAATAAACATGCTTAGTACTTCATTCAGAGACTGTAACGAAAGGTAATGGGGGACTTTTACAGATCCTAACAGGTTACCTTGCCTGCTGGTTGTTTGCAGGTATATTGGCAGTGATCTTTCAGAGCACAGCCCGCTAGGAAAACTGTGGTTCGGCTCACAGCAGCCGGGACTTTTCTGCATTTGCATTAATTCTTGTTGTTTTAAGAACTTTTACACGCAGGATTGTGCCCACAGGTGACAGGAAACCAGTGTTTCGAGAGGAAACTTGATCACATCTCTAGATAATGCAGGTATTCTAATCAAGTGTGTGAGTGCCTGCAGGCTTCATGCTGCTGCCAGGAGCACATAGTTTTTGGATTGGTAAGAACTGCCAAATGACGCTTCATGAAATATAAATGGAAGAAAGGCTCAGAGTGTGCAATAAAAACCCTCCACCTAGCAGCCTAGGAGGAGCAGAGAAAGAAGTTCACCAGCTACAAGATATGGCCCTGGAGCTTCCAATTGGAGTCTGCCTCCTGTTCAAAGGTACGTGATTGCCTTTTTGTTTTGTTAACTTTGAACCACCATAAAGTGTAAAGATTTAGTTCCCTGAATTTGAGGTTGTTCCCAGCAATGAACAGAAAGAGCAATGTGTGGATCAACTGGCTTTTCATGGAACACATGCTCTTCTTTTTTCTCTTTTGAATTTCTTTTAAAAAGTCTTGAGTGCTTGCTTTTAGCAACTGAGGTGTGCTTGATAGCAGCTACTGTCCTACAGTAAGCTGTGTGTGGTGATCGGATTAGTATGTAAGAAAACTTTCTCCTAAGAATGAATGTATTTCAGTGTCCTGTAATTGTAATATTGTCCTGGGGACAGCTAAAAACCAGTCTGGAATTGCCCTTGTCAGGTTCTGGATTTCATCAAGCCAGAACAGAAAATGGGAGCCTCAGAATAAGAACCACTTTGAATCTGTTGTTTGTGCACAAAGGAGAAGGAGGCTCACGTGTGAAAGATGTTTTTACCCTTCCACAGCAATGACAGCGGCACTGACCGAAGAAGCAGAGGTGCCCACGATCCCCGCAAGCACAGCACAGCAGAGCAACTGGACAGCTAACGACACGGAAGGTAGCTCCCTTCCACTCTATTTCAAGGGACTTCTTTGAAACCTCTGACAGAAAACTGCATTGTGGTAGAGACAACAACTGGAAAGATTTCAACCGTTTATTAGATTATCAGCTATTTCAGAAAGATGACACTAAGTTGAAGTGACAGGGAGCTTTGCCAGCCAAGGGTTGCCTTTTTGAAAAGGAAGAGGTGAAACAAGGGTGAGAAAAAAACTCTGTGTCTTCGGTTACTCTCATGAATGAGAGAAGCCATGGGTTCCGCTGGGGTTCTGCTTGACTCCCAGTGACCCATTTGCACCCGGCATAATTGCATATGACTGACATGCTCCAGGAGAGACATTGCATTTTGATCCGTGACAGTAAGCTTAGCAGTCACAGAAATTACAGCTACAAGAAGCAGTGCTTTCCCTCATCTTTGGAAAGGTCTTTTCTTGTTGTTTACTGTCTCTTTAGCATATGCTGAATTTTCTTACCACCAGCCTTGTTATGATGGTGGTCATCTATTTATTTCCTGTACAGAAGCCTGTGCATATCACAGAGGCTTCTGGCTCCTTTAGCATGGTTTTGTTGCATAGCTTTCAAATTTATTTGAACTAGAGAGGAACTTGGAAAGTGCCTTGTCTGTCAAGATCTGTGTCTGAAAGACTATGGCTCTCTCACAGGCATCCCCTGATGTAAAAGCTATAGTTTGTGACCAGGACATAGAAAGTCCTTATCTTGATTTCAAGATCTAGCCAATAAAGGCAGATGAAGCCAAGTAGTTTGTTTCAAATACGAAAGAGAGCAATATCTAACTTTTATTCATTTTGCCAATAATTTTAAACACCTGACAACTATGCTGTACTTTGGTTTTTGAACATCAATTTGTAAAACAGAATGTGCAGAAAATTTAAAGACATGGTTTCAGCTCAGTGATGTCATAGTCATGTTTCTAGCACCTTCACTTTTTACCTTTTTCTCTCTCATATTGCTGAGCTGCAAATGAAATCTTCGACTGATGTAACAACAAAAAATGAGAAAAGAAAGGAGCAGCTATGCTCTATTTTTCCTTTGCTTTCTCCATGGAAAAATTTTGTATTTTTCTCTGGTTTTGTTGCAGTGCTAGGATGGACCCCAGGGCCTCTGCATGCTAAGCATCTGTCACTGTGCTGTACCTGGCCTTTTGCGTTTTAACCTAAAATATGCATCTTCTATCTTATAAATGTTTTAGTGAAGTTATAACTAACCTTATAGAATGAGTTATAACATTATAGAAAGAGAAGAATGAGTCTCTCTGGAGTGCCTTTTCTTTGCAAACGGTTTCCTTCAAATTCTCATGCTTTCTAGAAAATCCTTCTTTAGATTTGGTTACATGACCTTGGTTAATCTTGAAGTAAGAGGAACTTAACACAGCTTGAATGAGAAATTCTCAGTCTCCAAAATAATTCCTAAAGGGATAAATTATGTTTGAGATATCACAGTTAGCAAATTGAATGTCATTTTTTAAGTTCTGGTGTGTGTTCTCAAATCAAAGTGATATGGTGTCTTGCTGGTACCTTAGTATCTAAAGATTTATATATTTATATATATTTATATATTTTCACATCAAAGGGAATGTTTTGAGGTCTGTTTTTTCTCTAAAGACACTTACGTAGGATTCCCTAAGCCTCTGTAGGAATGTACATACAGTGTACCATGAGAGATGACTAATAATGAGGAGGCGTCCTTATTCACGCAATACACCACAATATGCCACTAATTCTGCTTTTAAAAGGTTTAAAAATGACAAGGATTCAATTATGAGGTTTCCCCTAAGAATCTTTCCCATTGCGTAAGCACCAAAGATGGTACCAATAGATGTTATGTCTGGCATGCCAGAACCAGTAGCATCCTGAAATTCAGACAATTTTCTAGAGCACCCAGTCCTGACATGGGTGTCCCCTGAGGAGGTTTCTGTAGTCATTTTTGCAGTGTTGGAACAAAAGAAAGAAAAGTATGTTTCCTCTCCCAACCCTTCATAGCTTTAAAGCCACCTCTCCACAATACCATTTAACCACGAAGATCTGGTGTTCCCATTAGTTGTGCCCACCTGAGCCCCCCACTGGTTCCCTCTTCTTCTATCCATCAGAGCAGTCCCTCTCTGGTCAGTCAATGGAAATGTCCTCGCTTTAATTAGCAGCTCCTGGCAGTTTGTAGAAGAGTGAAAGAAGGAGTTCTCTTTCTTTCCTCTAGAGAGGGAATAAACAGCTGTCTCATTATAGAGCAAAGTTTCATCCAAGTCTCCCCAGGTGCCACCCTGTCAGGGCAGGAGAGATGCAAAGTGATATGCTGCCTTTTGTTCTAATTAGCATTGGGTACAAGTCTGGGAAACATTGTTCAAAATTACCTCCTAAGCTAGAACCAATGCTGCCACCTTTTGACCAACTCATTGCCATGTCTTATTATGTAGCTTCTCAAGAATGGGACCATCATTAATCCACCTCCACCCTATAATTAATTAACAGTGTATGTAGAGACATGAAGGATAAAACACCTTCCACCTCCACCCCCCAAATCCACATTTCAAAGGTCAAAGTGCCTAAAATATTCTTAAAATAAAACGTCTCTTTACAGATATGCTGAACGTGTAATATGAAAGCAGGACACACTGAACTGTTAATTAATGTATCTCCTTTTTTTCTAGCTGACTACATAGAAGGACCTGTAGCTTTGAAGTTCTCCCACCCTTGTCTGGAAGACCATAATAGTTACTGCATTAACGGAGTGTGTGCATTCCACCATGAGCTGAAGAAAGCCATTTGCAGGTAACTGAAAAGAATTTAGCAAGTCTTAGAGACAGAAGAAGATGAAAGCTCTGTCTTGTCCAGGAAAAATAGTGCTTGTTAGCCATTCGATTTGCATTTCCGTGGTGAAGACTACTTCTCCTTCTCTCAGCATTCCTTAGTTATCTGTAGCTCTTTGTGTAAGCTTGAGACATCCTGACACCTTCCTCAGCCCTAGTCCACAGTAGCTTGTCTGTTGATGTTCTTGTTCATGTCATGTTTAAGTGGTCATGTTGGTGAGACCTCATGGGTGCTGCTTCTTCCATTTCTAGGAGGCTTAGTCTCACAGCAAATTCCAAGTTCCTCTTCAGTAGATGGGAAGGCAGAGGGAGGAGAGGAATGAGAGAAATGATGTAATTATGTCATAATCTCAAAAATAATTAAAAAAGAATAGGATGATGAAATGCCAAGAGAATGGGGGCAAATAGTGCTTGATCTAAATGTAACCGGCCATTGTGTTTGAATATGAAGAAGTCTTCTTCTTAAACTGCTTATCCATATTACTCAAAACTGTCGTTCCCAGGCCGTAGCATGCACAGAGCCTGGAGCTTGTAAGCAATGCTGCCTTTAATGTTCTACAACTCTTGAATCAGTAGCTGCAGCTCTAACAAGATGCAAAGGTGGCCCTGAACTTTCTCAGGTTTCCATGATGAGACAGACTGCCCCAAGAACATCTGTTCAGGAAGATGAAGTCCCGGAGCTGCCATGACTGCATTTTTAATTTAATTTCATTGGCCACTGACTTGCTCAACTTCTTGACCAGCACTCTGCCTTCCCTCCTAGCAATGAATGAGTATGTGAAGCCTCACTGGAGTGACTGTGGCCAACCTCAGGCTGTTCTGTTAATGGACTGGCTCCCATGCACCTCTGCAAATTTCTCTCTTTTCTCACTCTTTGAAATGCATCATCTGTTTGTACTTCTGTCACTGTAGGCTTTACAGGTGTGTATGCTCTTCTCTCTTTAAAGATGCTTCACTGGTTATACGGGAGAAAGGTGTGAGCATTTGACCCTAACCTCATATGCTGTGGATTCTTATGAAAAATACATTGCGATTGGGATTGGAGTCGGATTGTTGATGAGTGCTTTTCTTGCTGTCTTCTATTGCTACGTAAGAAAAAGGTATGGGAAAGACAAGCATTAAATTGGTTGCGAGTGTTCACTTGACAAATATTTACTGAGTCCCTGCTACTGCTATATGTGTCTGAAAAGACCCTTTGTAACATTTTTGGTGCCTTTTCATAAACCCAGGCAAGTGGTTGAAAAAAAAAAAAAACATCTGTTGCAATAGAACAGTGTGAATTTAAAGTTTCCTTTCTTGTTATCTATGTTTTTTTAAGTCAATGTTGTAAGTGGGAAGTGGAGAAAACCTCTAGGAGGCAGAGATTAAATCTATTTTTACTGATGATTATACATTTAGTGTCAACGATGCACAAATACTGTTGAGTAAAAAAGAACGTTAAGAAATGAGTATTCCATGAAAAAAAAATGTGTGACAAGGATGGGCTTTCTCCCTAGACATCAGAGAGAATTCTTTTCCAGCAAAACTCTTTACTGCTAAAATCCCAATATTAAGAAATTAATCTATGGACAACTTAACATTAGTTATGTATATGTCATATTATTTCTAGTTTCCCCACACTAGTTTTTGTTCCTTAAACCCACACATAAAAAAGTCAAGATTTAATGAGAGGCACATTAGGAACAAATATATGTCTCTGGTGGTACTTTTACTATTCTCATTTCAACAAAAATGACTACAATTCTGTGACCAAAATTAGACAAGTTTGTTTTGCTTAATAAATGCTTATGGAAGAATTAAATATGTGTTATATTAGCTTTGTGTTTGTCAAAGGGATGAAGAAGAATAATGAGAAGGAGGAGGAGTGGGGAAGATCCGTAGAAGATCTGGGTGTGGAAAGTCAGGTTCTCTAGAAGAAAAGTCTGAAATGGAGATGATTCTGAGTATGGTGGTGGTGTGATGGCATCTAAGAGAAAACCTGTAGTAAGCTAAGGAAAGCAAACAACACAGTCCAAAGCTGGTTACAGCTCCACTGAAGTCTTGGCCTGATCCCACAGGAAGAGAGAGAATGTGGATAACATCATAGACCCATCACAAAGAGGAGTCAATCTGGGCTTTAATATCCTGTATCAGTCCACCATGGGTCATGATGATCACAGCAGGGTAGGAATCGGGGGTCTTACAATCTTAGTAACCTGTTGGCAAGGCACATTGTTGGCTGTGGATAATCCTCTAGAGAAGGATGCTCCTGTGCATGGGTTACTTCCTGCTACTGAGAAAGACATCCACCAGTAGAAAACTGGCATCTAGGCAGAGCACTGAAAGCAACTGCTACTGCAGCACACTCATACGGGTAATCCATAACGATCAGCACAGACATCACTCTCATTGTTCTCTCTGTTTTAGGTGTCTAAGTCTGAAATCACCTTACACCATCTGCTCCGCAGGGAGACCATTGTGAGACCTCACAGGGCACATTCGTCAAGTCATTTGTCAAAAGCAATGGCGACTCCAATGGAGATCTTCAGCTGATTCAAAATGTGATGAAGCTAACTTGAAAATAATGGAGGTTTGGATCGCAATGCAATAATTCAACACTGGCTCTTAGCTTTGGCCATCTTTGGGTGCCATGGAAGCTACGTGACTGAGCTACAGTAACAGAAGCCAAGTTCACAACCCTACCTTGGGTTTGTTGTCGGGTGGTTCTTGTCACTGTAGGGAAACTTGTCTCATGCTTCTGACCATCTCAGATGTGAGTTTTCATCTTCATTGTCAAAGTAATTCCACTCCTGGGTTCCTCATGCACTCAACATTTTGGGTCAGCTGTTTCAACGCACCTAATTCCTTCTGTCCTCATGGTATTTCAGGGAATTTGGTATCAACTTTTAGATGAAACCAATGAATGGCTCCTTGAGTGAACCAAAAAATGCATTGAACCTAAACCACTGAGAGAAAGCAGAGTATTTAAGGCAAGCATAAATCATATCCTGCTTATGACAACACTTTGCAAATTTTATCTGTGGAGTTGGGAATCAGCAAGTCAATTCCTGAGAAATGAAAGTCACCTGGACAACCAGCCCAAAGGAGACAAAGCAGCTGTTTCTGAGTGGATTCTAAAACCTGTGTTGGGCTCATCTGTACCCTGCTGCTTTTGCTCATCATCTTCCTTTTGCTGGAATGCTCATTTGGTGCCCATCATTTCAAGTCCTAGAATTCACCTAGTGACTAAAAGCCTACAAATTGATCCCCAAATGGAAACTGAAAACAATACATAAGAGCAACAGCATGTGGAATGTTTATTATTTTTGATTGATTGATTGATTGATTAATATATATGCACATATGTAAAAATGGAATAATGGTAGAAATACTTATTTAGAAATCATGATCCCTCTCTTGAATTGTGTTTCTGCTACATAATTCAATCTTGGGAAAGTCTCTAACTTTCTTTGGGCTTTGGTTCCACTTTCTACAAGGCCCTTGTAGCTCTAAATTTGAAGTATAGGAGAAGGAAAAAAAAGCCTCTACCTGTATGACAGGTGAGATTATCTCAATGCTGCCATTATCAACCCCCGTCTCTAACCGCAAAATACCTCTGAATATTATCCTTAGTTTATATTGTAATGTTCAGTTTGTAGCATAATAATTTATTTTGAAAGGAAATACAAAATGAAATAACAAAGTAATAACAGCTGCTGTCTTTTCTTTATGGATTTAATCTAGAACTCTGGGCTTATTTCTTTTTTTCATAAGCAGGACAATTTGAACTTGAGATTAAGTAAAAGAAAACCAGACCTGACTATCATTACAGTAGCAACTAGTCTTAAGCCCTATGGACGTATTATAGCTTTTCATTCACTCCTTAAGTGTAGTACATCCTGCTTTCCTTTGAGAGAAGGTATTTCCTTGGCTTTGTTTTTCTTCCAGAAGGTATGTAATGTGGCTGCTTTGCATGTCAGCACTTTCCAAATGTGCAAGGTTACATCACACCAAGGGGTGGGGAGTGTGGTTCCACCCAGTGACCCTGGCAACCACACCTAGAAAGAAGCTACCTCTTCCTGGGCATTTTAAAAAGCTGTAACAGAGCAAGGAGAGTCCAGGAAGAAATACAGGAGGTCTACTTTCAATTAACCTACCTCATGAGGAGATTCACTTCCCCTGAACCTCTGGGGGAGTGATGCCAGACATGGTCACACACACTTGCTTACCCGATTCAGACACAGCAACCCAAAATTAGACCATCAGAGACCTATGACTTTCAGACAGCCAAATCGAAATGTTAATCCAAACCAAACCAAAACCAAGTGAAAAACCAGTAATGCATGTTCAGTCTTCTTCACTCACACAGTGCTATTCATTAGCAATATAAAACACGCCCAGCAGAACGACACAGAAATCTCGACCACAGTTGATGAAACCTACCTGTTTAGGGGCTATTGTATAAAATGGTCTTGTGATCTTCCACCTGCTGGGGTTGCTCTGGCAGAAGAGGCTCTCTGGCCTGCCTAAGGAGCCATCTGGCAGCATCTGTACACATGGGGAAACTGAAACACATATACAAAAAGATTCTGAGCACAAAATAGCCAAGACTTGGCCTCAGAACTAGATTTTTCGCTATGGAGATGGAAGGTATGATGACATGTTTCTGGCGTCCATGACAAAACCAAACAGTGCAAGAAGTTCATCTTCTTTCATTCCCTTTTAGCTTCTTCTGTGTCTGCCCGTCCGTTCTTTGAGAGTGCATTCTTAGGTCAGCCACATTCGTGAGTACTTCTTCATGCTTTAGACTATGGTAGGGATGGGCCAAACCCTGTAACATTAGCCATACCAAGCTCTAACTGCACAAAAAATGATTTACAATAGCTTGTCCCTATACCCCAAGTTAGCTTTTTCTGTAACCGTGTTTTCATTGGGTGAAATTATAAATGAATCCATCTTTTAGAATTTCCTGCCACCGTGCAGATCTAATCCCTTAATTTTGACATGCCCATTTTGGTGACGTCAATAAGATTTCCCTTCATTATATTTAATTGAAAAAAAAGTCTTAACAAAATAATAAGACAAACACCAGCAATTGTTGACGTTGAACCTAAGGACGAGTCATGTCTGCAGAGTACTTGTGGGTAAGCTATCTAACTACATTATAAAATGTTACATGCTATCTGTGTATTATATAAATATTGATAGCTTGCAACACACACTCATGGGAAGGGTGACCAGAATCTCTGTTGCAAAATACCACTCTTTCTGGCTTACATCATTGGCTAGTGACATCAGATCTGAGCATCTGCCAAGATGCAGTGGAAGTGTTGAAATTGAATTTGTCAGAGTCTGGCACTGCTAATCTGGGTGAGTCCACATTTCAGTCCAAACCTTGGCACAGGTCTATCCGGTAGCACATCTAATGGCATGCCTTTCAAGTCCTCGACGATATTTCTGTTAATCAAATCAATTGATGACTGTGGGAGACTCCGACCAGCTAGTGAACTCCAATTTTGAGAAGACCCATGTTTTCAAAAATGCATGATTTTGTTTTGGTTCACCTCCCTCCGTAACCTAAGCGTGAAAGATTGTGTGCCGCTTCTGAAGAAACAGCTCGATGGGGACTGGAATGTGATGGCACGATAAGGAGGTGAATTGCCTTGCACTGTCAAGTCTTACCTGAACACCTCATGGCCTTTCTTTCTCATTCTTATGCCTTATATACAGGAGCACAGGTACCTAGATTAAAGTGCAGTTAGGATCAAAGGCAAGCAGCCACAGCTAACCCTGTGGCTAATCCTCCCCTTAGTGAGAAGCAGGGTTAGTGGTGGTCTGTATTCCAGCACTTTAGAAGGAGGAGGGGCAATCTCAAGTCTCCAGGGCCAGCTTGGGTCACTTACCTAGACTGTCTCAAAGACAAAACAAAACAAACAAAACAACACAACAAATATAACAAAATTAAAAACAACAAATTTCTCCACAAAGAGAGTTCCAGGACAGCCAAGGCTACAGAGAGAAATGCTGTCTCAACCCCCCCCCCCCCAAAAAAAAAAAAACAAAAAACAAAAAACAAAAAACAAGAAAACAAACAAATGCCACCACCAACAACAAATTAAGCTGCAGATCTTTCTGGAAAGAATGACATCTCTAGACCTTTAAAGTTGCACAAAAGTGTTGAATCAATATTTCTTTAACAAATCACAAGGGCATGCTAGTACTCTCGTGCAATCATTTATGGGCATTTATCAGGCTTTGGAAGCATTGTTTTAATTAACCCGACAGACACATGTTTAATTGTGCAGACTTGTTCAAGAACACACAGCTTTCAGTCTTTCGTCCATACCATAGCCTAGACGGTGTTTCCCAAGAGTGTATGGAAAATTTGTGTTGCAGGTTAACTCCTTGGTGAACCTAAGATAAGTAGCCAGGTGATCTACAAATGATAAAGTTCTTTTCTTTATATGTAATAGCCTTTGTCAGAGATCAACCACAGAAATTCCCTGCCATTATCAGATTAAGATATGCATGCCAAACTCAGGGTGGGACCAGAACAAAAGTGAAGAGCCTACTGGCAGGTGAGTCCGAAGACTCTGGAGACTGAAGACTGGAAATAAAGCCTGGTTTATCCTCAAGACTCAAGGGATAAAGAGGTCACTTGAGAGTATTCCACATTCTCTGTATTATCTGGCATTGTTAACTTCCCTGGGCTTGTTAACTGACTGGGCTTGGTGATACAGGAGACCAGAAGTGAAGCATCCAAGTTGTTCATAGAATTTAGTAGAAACCCTCTTCCTCTCCATTACCTTCCCTTCCTGAATTGCCCTTTAGAGAAAAAAAAAATAGTAAATTCTGGTGGATCAGGTTAAGACAATAATTAGAGATATGAAAACTGTCTGCACAATGGCTGTCACTCTGATTGCCAGGGTTCTCGTGTAGTTCTGGGCCTGTTTGACTTCATGGGGTCCTTTGGAGAAGATGTTAAATGGAGAAGTTAGACTGTAAAGATGACTTCCCTCTTCCCCTCCTGGCTTTAAGACATGCAGAAAATGGGAAGGCTATCAGGTAGATCCCACCCACAGACATTATTTCCTTTGGCTTCCGTGTGTTGATTTTAAATCAGTCCCACATTTAGAAATCAAGGTATTTTCCTGTGAAGACAAGGCAAGAAACTGTGTCTTCTTGCATGGCTTTGGTTAGGTGTTTGTGCTCAACAGCAATCGGCCTCTGGTGCCAACTCAAGGTTCCTGGGAACCTTTAAGCCTGCCAACTTGGCCTTTTGGATTAATGGGAAGGTCTTTCCTCATCTCAATTCTCTGAGGAGTTTAACTACCAAGAGGCCTGTAGAGGGCCCTGTTGTACTGCCAACCTCATGGGCCTGAAGCAACCCCAGATCAAAGCTTCGCCCAGGAATGCACTTGGCAGAAGAACCCACATTCACCTGGGCGCTGGCGGGTGCCATCCGATGACTCAGCCACTGCC